TTAGCATTTTGTTTTGTTTTTTTTAGTATTGGGCATGGAACCCAACGTTTTGCACGTGCTAGGCAAGTACTGTACTACTGAGCTATGCACCCAGACCCTCTCAATATTTCCTCTCCTCCTTCTGTTTTTTGTGACAAGGGCTCACTGCGTAGTCCAGGCTGGCCTTGAACTTGCTATGCATCTCAGGCTGGCCTCAAGCACACACTCCTCCTGCCTCAGCTTCCCAAATTCTGGGATTATGGGTGTGTGCCACCAGACCAGCTTCATTTTTACTTTCCTCAACATCCTTGAGAGCTTGTTTGGAGGTTCTAGCAGGGGAGTGCAGCTACTCGGATACCCTTGACTGAGGAAACTGTCCTCCTGTATCGGGGGTGGTCGTCCTCTTCGACCGACCAAGCGCACAGCTTCGGGAGGGACGCACATGGAGCGGTGAGGGAGGGAGGGGACACCCGCCTAGCCAGCCAGATCAGCCCAGTCAACCCTGGCGATCAATGGGGTGACAGATGTGGCAGCCAGATCGCCCTCACATCCCACAACATCCTAGAAAGCAGATATGATTGTCCCTATTTTTACAGGCGAGTATGTTGAGACAGGGAGAGATCACACTATCAGTGGTGTAATCGTAAGCAGTTTGTAGCAGAGCTAAGACTGAAAGCGGCCCTGCTTGATTCCAAAATCATCCGTAGTTTAAAGAGGCAGATTAAACTCAGATATGAGAGGCCTTGGACACAGGCTCAGGCCTCCATGTTTAAAGAGAAAGATGTGCTCTGTAATGACAAGAAGGAAGTCACATCTCAGGGACCACAGAGTTTCAACAACAAAAGAATCATGAAAACAGTAATAACAAACAGAAAGGGACTCATAGAAAACACAGCAAGTTGTTGTGGTTCACAGAGTGAGTCATCCCCAAAAGACTCCAGAGAAAGATTGGAAATGAATGTGCTTTTGAGGCTATGTGTCAATCATCCAGCTCCCCGGGGGACATGGGAGGAGGGGTCTCTGAGGACTTCTAGTTAAACTGCATGGTGCCTGTGCCTCCAGGATCAGGACGAGGAGCCCTCTAGGATGGTGCTGCTCAACCTGGGGACCTGCACCCCAGGATTATTGGTGGCCCAGAGGATATAAGAAGCCAGAAATCAAATAGGGCAGCTTGTTTTAGATGTGTCCATTTTATTTAAAAATTTGAGCAAAACCAATATTATTTTGAAACAGACATTAATGTATTATGGGAGAGGCATCCATTTTACATGAAATTTTAAGATGAACGCAAGTATTCAATTTTAGTGGATCCCTCCAAGCTTGATTACCAGATTCCCACAGATCCACGATCCTGGCAGGGCCTGTTGAGACACTTCGTGCATTTATCTCGAAGGAACTAGCTGGCCCCCACCCTCAACATTTACTGAGCTCTTGTCCTGAGCTGGATTTTCTGCCAGGTCCTGTTTAAGATTAATAGGATATTAGTCTTGCAGCAGGCCCCAATATATGGTCACACGGCTGCCCAGGACATAATGTGTAATTGTGCTACGTAGGAAGGCTGACGGGTGCTCAGAGGAGGACCGATTAATTGCACCTGCAAGGGAGTCTGTTGGGAAAGACTGTGAGAAAAACTTTTAACTGGGTGGGAAAGACTTCTGAGGAGGCAGTGTCCCCAGCAAGAACAGGGTGGCTGCCAAGTGGGCATTGAGGCTGGAGCATACCCAACTGGGAGGCCCGGAACAGGGCCAGTGAGGTAAGTTATTGCACTCAGGTCACATCAGCCTTGAATGTTACCCTCAGAACCCTAGAACTTCATACTGGGCGGAATTGTGGGCAGGGCTGAAGAGTTTAGCTTTGGAGAGAAACACAGTTAAACCTGTATTTTAGAAAGTTAAGGAAGGTAGATTTCTGGAGGCACCAGGGGTATCTATCCTGACACCATGCCAGGACCTGGCTAATGACAGATTCCAAACTTTCATGGAACCCATTTTAATGTGTAATCATCTCCACAGTATGGATATGTGTGTTACTATGTCACCATTTTGAGTAATATTTTGATACATGCATTTTAATACAAATATTTCCTTTGTAATCCTATGTGTTTTCTTTTATACTCTTAAAAATATTATTCTCTCGGCTGGGGATTTAGCTCAGTGGTTTCGGCTGCCTGCTGTGCAAGCGCAAGGACCCGAGTTCAATCCCCGTACCAAAAAACCCCCCAAAATAAAATAAAATAAAAAATAAAAATATTATTCTGGGAATGACCCCAAGGAAATCTTAACCTGACACCGAATGGGTTCATGGCTCAAAGCCTTCAGATATTTGAAGGTATGACATAGACCATCTTCCCAAGGGCTGGGATCTATTCCAGTTCTGTGGCCCCTACCAAATTAGTTAACCACCAAGTTCCCTCTTCTGCAAAATGAGGACAATGACAGTCCTTCCTCAAGGTGTTATTACAAGAATTAAATCAGCTAACATAAAACTGCAGCAGTGCCCAGTCTCTGTTTCCAGTGGTTTGAGACTATAGTGCTTTTATAACTCAGGTGAGACTGTTTGGGTGGGCTTATGATAACTCGGGTGACACTTTGAGAACAGAATCACTATTTCTGACACTCATGATATTGCCTTCTTTTTACTAGGTCTTCCTCAGACCCCCAAATTTCCAGACCCAGAAAAGGTAGAAGTAGCATTCCTTTAATCTCTATTTATTAATAACTTTAGTAGCTGTCTTAGTTGGACTTCCCAACCGGTGGACCCTGAAGCAAAGCTCTGGGATAAGTGCTATGTAGTTGAACTTACAATTCTTCAACTTTAGTAGTGCAAAAGTGCACCAGTCAAGCATACTGCTTTCCACTTCCAATAGTGTTCAGCAAATGCCATGAGCTAGTTAACATTTCATTATAAAATAGGCTTTATGGTGCATGATTTAGTCCAATGAGGGGCTAATGTAAGTGTTCTGTGCCTGTTTGCTTGTTTTTTGAGAGGGTCTTGTTGTGTAGTCCAGGCTGGCACAAACTCCTGATTCTCCTGCCTCAGCCTCCTGAGTGCCAGGCTCTGAGTATAACCAGCACTGCAAAACTTTTAACTTAGTTCTTTTTTTTTTTTCTCTTTGGTACCGGGGATTGAACTTGGGTCCTTGCGCTTGAGCAGTAGCTGGCGAAACCACTGAGCTAAATCCCCGGCCCCAACTTAGTTCTTTTTTAAAAGAGATAAACAACTTTTCCAAAATTTTTTAGCCGGGCACATTGCCAACACCCCCTCTTTTTATTAGCACCCCCAAAATGGTAACATACGTCAGCCCTAGGAGCCTGAGATCTTAAGAGTTTTACAAAAAAAAAAGATGAGCTAACAGTAGTTAAAATTGATTGAGTATGAAATCTACATTATCTCTGTGTTCCCCCTCCCTTCTGTTCCTTGCTATAAAAGACCCTTGCCCACCTGTAAATGGGGAGATGTGAGGCAAATGGGCCCCTCCATCTCCTCAGAGTTAGCTTTAAATAATCCCTTTTCTTTTTCACTCAAATATATGGTGTCCTTTGATTTGGTCAGTGGCAAACAGACGAATCTGAGCATATGAGCCTAAGCGGCCTGTGACATGAGCATATTTAAGGCAGGCAAGGCTCAGCAATGGTATTGGGGAGGTTAGATGTAGGAAATGCATTGCTGACTTCTATTTCCAACTCACACTGGGTTGAATGTAGACATAACCCGGTCTTAGGTTGAGGAGCATGAGTGTGAAGTCTGAGGAAGTAGCATGAGGAGGGGGAAAGTGAGAGGAGGAAGAAAGGAAACCAATAAAGGCAACTAGAGGTAAGCACTGAGGGCAATAGGGCAGCAACCCTGCTGGGGAGCCCGAGAGACTGTGCGAAACACATCTCAGCTTGTCCCAAGCACTGAGGAGGCCGGGGACTTACTCAGCAGCTCCTAACCTGGGCTGCAAGGGCTGCCCTGGGGTATTACTTTCTAGCCCCTGGCCGCATTTGAGAAAGCTGGCAGGCCTAGAGACCCAGGGCCGGAGGGAGAGCCTGTGTGTGCAAGGGATTGGCTTCCAAAGTGCAGGTGACCTGCGAGGTATGGCCCTGGCGAGGTCTGCTCCACAGGGAGGCCTGAGGCGACATGGCTGTCGATAAAGGGTGTGAAAACATTATGAAGCAGACAAAGAGGGATGAAACAGTTTAGATTGTGTTTTATTAAAAAAACAAAATTCATACTCAGAGAATAACAATAGTTATTACACTGTGTATCATTATCTTCAAAGTAGTTACTCAAGTGTAAGACATAAATGAAAAAGATTCTTAGGAAAAAGAAACAGATAATACAAAACTTTCTTTTCAATGAACTAAGATAAACTAGTAGTATAAACTAATTAGCATAATTAAAATATTTTTAAAACAATGGAATTTGTAATTTGAAAGTATTTGAACTTCATATTTCCTATTTTCTCTCTTCTATTTTGCTCTTTATGTGTGTATATAGATAAATAATATATACTATTATGTGTAATATATACTCTATTGTTTCTCATATAAGAGAAACCACACAATACTTGAGTTTGTGTGCCTGACTTATTTTACCTAACATTATGTTCTCAAGTTGTATCCATTTACCTATGAATCCCTCAAGTTTATTTCTTATGGCAGCATAGTACTCCATTGGTATAAATACAATATTTTCCTTGTGTATTCATCTGTTGATGGAAATCCATGCAGTTTCCAAGATTTAGGTATTTTAAACTGTGCTGCTTTAAGCATGGGTATTCATGTACCCTCGTAATATGGTAATTTGAACTCTTCTGGGAAGATACCTAGGAGGGGAATAATGGAATTTCTATTTTTGGTTTTTTGAGGAATCTCCACACTGATTTACATAGTGGTTGGACTGGTTTACACTCCCACCAACAATGTAATAGAATTTCTTTTTCCCTACAGCACCAGAAGCACCCCCCGCCCCGTGGAAATGAGAAGAAACGTAAACAAGCCTCAAAAACAGACTTCTGGATCACCTACAGCAACCCCAAAGGGAAATGAGATGGAACAATCTGATACTCAACCACCTGGACTCTCTGAACTGGCAACAAAAGAGGTTCTGGGAAAAATGAAATCAGTGCAAATGAATCAAAGTGAAGGTACTTGCTGAATTCTGTTCTACAAGTGGACATTCATCTCTTTGAGAATTTTTTTTTTTTTTTGGTACCGGGGATCGAACTCAGGACCTTGCACTTATGAGGCAGGTGCAGTGCCACTGAGCTAAATCCCCAGCCCTCTTTGAGAATTTTTAAAATTAATTTTTCACATGCTCCTGAGGAATTTTTACCGTACTCAGTGAATTTAATTTTTTAGTCTTAGCAGTTAAATCATCATGGTCCACTCATGAAATAGACATTTGAAATTAACATTGCAAAAGAATCATTTTCAGGGCCAGGGATTTAGCTCAGTGGTTCCACCACCTGCCTCGCAAGCACAAGATTCTGAGTTCGATCCCCATTACCAAAATAACATAATAATTTTCAGACTAGAGACTACATAGTGAGAAGTTTAAGATTAAAGTGCCTTTTAAAAGGAAACTACATCCTGTCTTTGCAAAGGAACAACTATGATGATATACAGCAGTGATTGCAAACCTGTGGCACGTATGCAGAGCTCTCTCTTTCAGTTTACAAGCCAGGTAACCCTAGCATCAACCCAGAAGTTGAACATTCAGGTTTAATTGTATTGGTGGCACTTTGTGATAAATAAGTGGGTTTGGGTTGCAGTTGGGGCACTCAGTCTCTAAAAGATTCACCATATCTGATCTACAGTAATGGGTCTGATTATTATAATTATTGAACTAAAGCTACAAGGAGCTACTAGCAATAGGTCATAGAAATTCTATTGTCACAGATTAAAGACCTATATTTTGGGAAGGTCTTGGGTGGGACTTTCTGGTTTAGTTTCTTTGGGAATGAGGTAGAGATTGTCCAGTTTGAAGTAAATGTAACCATTTGAAATGCTGTCATGATTCTTACCCTACAGATTTATTAGTGGGTTCTAATCTACTATCCATTGCAGGAAACTCCGATTAATTTCACAAAGTATTTGCCAACCAACTTTGACAACTATTCTCATAGCTTTCTCATGGAATTAAAATTGCTCTTCAGGAGCACAGGATTTGGGGGGCTATGAAACCATTCTGTATGCTACTATAATAGTTTATATATGTCATTAGACATTTGTCAAAATCACAGAATAGGTAACATCAAGTGATTAGTGTAAGTTTATCAATCATGACAAATACATGATGGCTAGGTACATTGACAGTGGGGGAAGCTGTGCCCGTGTGAGGACAGGAGTCTGTGGGATCTCTATACTCTCCCCTCAATTTTACAATGAACCTAAAACTGCTCTATAAAATAAATTTTGTTCATTTTTTAAAAAATTGCTCAGTGGGCCACTGTGTCTTGCTTTTGCAAGGTGATTCACCCTCACTCTGTAGGATGCACTTGTTTTCCTGCTTTTTCTTGGCTCAAACTCACTCTTGCAGAGCCTATTTCTTTTCCTACCTTTAATAAAACTTTGCTACTCTTTGCGCTTATATTAACCAATTCTTTGTCAGGACAGAAAGAACCTAGAAACTACCTCCAGAAGGAGACTCCAGCACCCCAAAACCTAGTAACATATTTGGCGAGCCAGCCAGGAGGCCAGGTAAGGCCCTTTGGAACATTTGTTTGTTTGTTTGTTTCTAAACTGACCTCATGTTTCTGTTCTCCATAATACTTTGTTCAGCTTTCTCACTCTTTGGGGGGAAAAATAGCTGTTGGTAGCTTGGTAGCCTCCCTAAGTAAGCCACCTACCCCAGTTTATTCCTTTTTGTGCTCAAAGTCCTATCTGTGCTTTTTCCTTAGATGGCTGTTTATTTCTCAGAGTACTATCTTAGTCCAGGTCACATATGGCTGGCCACCATCTTGTCTTTTTTTTTTTTCTTAAATTCTTTTATTGATACATTTTAGGTATGCAATACATTTACATTTATCATTGGGTGCTTGTACCAGTACATGATGTATCTTGGTTCTTATTTTTCCCCATTCCCTGTGCTCCCTTCCCTATTTACAACGACTTTGTTTCTATTTTTTCCTTTTCTCATAACACCATCTTGTCTTGTCATGTTACTGGGTACCCACTTTGGATCAACCATGTGGCTCCCACCATGTTTGTTTCCCTTCCTTGTTTCTTCTAACAAAATGCAAGTAATTTAGAAACATATGCCTGATCGCCTGAGCAAAACCAAAGAATATCCAGTGAAGCTTAACTCAAGAAACTGAGTCAAAGGGGAGCTATCCTCATTCTTAGGATTTTTAAAGGTTTTTTTCTTGCCAAAAAAAAAAAAAAAAAAAAGTTTCCATCTCTACTACCTTAAACAAAATACTGAAGTTTTACTGTCAGGGTAAATGCAAAGGATATTGTTTCTCAAGTGCCTCCACCCTGCTTAAGTACAGTTGCACCTCAGTTCGCAAACTTGATTCTTTTCATAATTCTGGTTGCAAAGTGAGTTGGATGAGAACTGAATCAAATTCAATCATTAGATTCATTGTTGACCTTATGAGGAAGTTTGATTTGGTTCTCATCTAGTTCAGTTTACAACCAGAATTGTGGAGAGAATTGAGTTCATGAACTGAGGTACCACTGTAGAACCATCAAGTGGCCCAAGGGAGTCCCAAGATATTGTTTCCCAAAAGTCTCCACCCTGCTTCAGCTGAGCCATCAAGTGGCTCAACATGGCTAAGGAATCCTGGTGGGAAAGGATTTGACCCTGATGGGAGTATTGAAGGGCTAGGTAGAGCCATCAAGTGGCTCAACCCCTTCTCCCTAAGGAATCAGTGGGCCCCAGTATGGAGACAAAAACCTCTCAGAAGGGTTTTCTTCTATGTTTTTGTGATAGATGCCAGCATCATTCTAGCTTCGGACAAAGATGTCTGTCTAGTGGATACTTGAGTCGCACAAGGGGCACTTTGTGGGCTCATTGGGTCTCCTCCTTCTACATGGAATGCCATCTAAAGGTCCTGAGACCTTGTTGTCTCTCTGTAGGACCCAAGACAAGCCACAGGAAACCTCATGAACCACTGATTTCACAGACTTTGCCACTAGGCCATATCCTTGATCAGTGGAAAAGGTTTGACTCTAACAATTTGGAAAAGGAACAGCTTATCTACTATTGCAATAATGTTTTGGTTCAGTATGACCTAGGAAGTGGGATGCTACTTTAAACTATGAGACTATTTTTCAGTTAAATTATTTCTGCTTAAAACACAGAAGGTGAAGTGAAATCCCTTATGTTCAAGCTTTTGTGACCCTTTATCTTAGGGAAAGCCCAGAAACTATGGTATTTAGAGTGGCCTGCGAAGAAGAGAGAGATATCTTTAGTGGAGTTTTTTTTGTTTGTTTTTTTGGGGGGTGTTTTGGTACCAGGGATCAAACTTGCGACCTTGCACTTTTGAGGCAGGCAGCAGAACCACTGAGCTAAATCCCTGGCCCCGAGAGAGATATCTTTGATGATCCTGTCCTTGGATCCCCACTGTCTCTCAGGGGGATATGGTCTCTCCCATTGTTTTTAATGAAGAAACTTCAGATGGGACTGCAGACACCTATGACCCAATTGGTGGACATGACCTTTTCTGTGTTCAACAATCAGGATCTGGAGGAGGGTCAAAAGAGAAAAGCTGGAATTATAGCGGTTGCAATTGGTAATGCTGTAAACTCACCCAAATCATCTAAGGGAAAACCCAAGGATGATTGAGGACAAGAAGTCTAGACACTGGCACATGACTGAACCAAGCTACCTCCTGCGCCCTGCTCCAAGTGTAAGGCAGCCAGTGTACCTGACTCACGGCACAGGAGGTTGACTGTCCGTGCTCCCAGAGAGGGCTAGACCAGCCGCGACCTCATTTCCCACTCTGAAGAGACCCAAAGAACCTACAATGGATATTATTTGTCCATGGATATTACCATCTCCTATGTGGAGCCTTGGATAATGCTGGATGTCCTGGGTCAGCCAATTGAATTTTGACTTCCTTCTCTGGAAAACCCTCTTCTAGATCTATAGTCATAGTTTGGGTTGAGGGGAGCCCAAGTTGAAGATTCCTTACTCCTACTTTGACATATCACTTTGAAGGCCGAATGGTTAAACATGAGTTGGTTTTTTGTTTTGGGGTTTTTTTGTTTGTCTTTTTGTTGGTTTTCTGAGATGAGGTCTTGCTTTGTAGTACAGGCTGGCCTTGAACTCATGTTGATCTTTCTGCCTCAGCCTCCCTAGTGATGAGATTATACATGTGCACTACCATACCCAGCTAATCATGAGTTTCTAATTGTCTCACAGTGTTCTACTCCCTTGCTAGAAAGAGATTTACTAGCAAAACTGGGGGCAATTCTCAAATCTCGACAAAGGCCAAAACAAATTTTACCTGTTGGGCTATGCCAGGTCTCCCTGATCTAATTAGCCAACAGGTAGATCCTGCTGCATGGTATAATAAAAAACCTGACTTAAGAAAATCCTTCTTCCTCTACATATCAGAAGAAGGGAATTGTTCGGGGTGTCTTGACCCAAAGACTAGGACAAGAACTCTGCCCACTGGCATACTTTTCAAAGAGTCAGATGCAGAGGCTGATGAATGACCACTGTCCCTAAGGGCAGTAGTAGATACAGCTAGGCTAACAGAGGAAGACTTTAGGGTAGAGACTAGAAGTCCCGACTCCCCATCAGGGAGGTAGTCCATCTTTTCAAGGAGGTTGCAGTCATGCATGCTAAGGGATTCTAAAGAGACATGTCTAAAGTCTCCTTGGGAAATCAAAAGGCTGATAGAGAGGCAAGAAGGGCAGCCCTACGGCCCCTCAAGACCCTAACCTTATTCCCAGTTCCTGAGGAACCATTCTGGTCCTTCCTCAAGGAATGCAGTGACAAGATATAAAATCCTACATGGGAAATAGTCACTAGAATTTTCACAGGACTAAGATTCCTGAGAACCCCTGGATGACCTGAAGCTGCTTTCCAGAGAGAAGACACCAGTATTGCTCAGGTGCAGATAAACAGAGTTCCTAATGATTCTAATTCACTGCAGCTTAAATGGGCACCTATATCGAGGCTCCTGTTTTTAATTAGATCCATTATGTGGGTAATCCTGCTAAGTTTATGCTCTCAGGCTCTTGATAATTTATCAAACCTCACTTTGCCATACTTTGTCTTCTAAAGGAAGCACGGAAATCCGACCTGCTGAAGTTACTTTCTTTTTACCATGGAACAGACAGCTCAATAGTAACTAATTCTTTTCTCATTGTTTTCTAACAATTTTTCTCTTCAACCCAGCCAGTGAGCCCCAACTCCCCAAGGTAGTTGGAGAACACATAATCCCCAGTAGGTACAGTCTACAGCCCCTTCCAGCCAGAAGAAGCTATAAAAAAGAGAGACCTCCACTCCCTCAGCACCGCATAAAGAATTATGGGGGTATGTATTTCTCAGGTGTGATCTGCTAATTATATAATCCCAGGACACATACACAGAATAGTTCCCAAAGCCCTGGATGTGGACTCTTCAGAAGAACGCCAGCAGGTTTTTTGATAGGACCCTAGACCTGACGTCAGCCTGAGGAGTGGGTGATACAAAAAGGACAGTCCACATTGGGTTTTTTCCCACTGTGTCTTGCTCTTTCGTGATGCCCACCCTACTTTTACTTGGCTCAAACTCGCTCTGCAGAGGCTGTTTCTTTTCCTACCTTTAGTAAAACTTTGCTACCATTTTAAAAAGTTGCTCTGTGGCTATAGCACTTGGAAAAAATATTTCTTTCCCCCAGAAACACTATAACTACATTTTCTCTGTGCACCCACACATTTAAGAAACATAAAATGAACTCATAAAAAAATTTTAAAATGAGCTCATAAAATCAGCAGGAAGGAAGGCAGGTGATTGATTTCTTTGTTATTGTTGATTGTTCTTGGAAATCCCCCTTTGGTAATGGTGATCTTTTGTTTTACTCTTCCTTTCCCTGAGTAAAAGTCATGTCCTTGGGATGCATGTATCCTTTTGGGGCCAATTGCTTTTTCTCCCTGTCACCTCTTCATTTCAGTTTTTCCCCCTCTGGTACAAATAAGTGCAGCCCATGAAGGAAGTGTTATCAGATCCACGGGACTTATCATGGGCATTGTTCCATGGCTGGCCCCTCACACAACGGTGGGGAAGGGCTGGAAACCTTAATTTGGCCTTCACCCCTGGTGCCTGAAATGAATCCAGCCCACATCCCATTTTACAAGTCTGTTATTGCCTCCTTTGTGCTCTGAGGCTATAACCTGGGGTTGAGCTTCCCAGGCCTCCATTATCAGCTTTGAATTTGGAGAGAGAAAGAGAGAGAGAGAATGAATTGGGGCTTGAATCCCAGCCTTCTCACTGAGCTACAACCATAGCTAGCTGTTTATTTATTTATTTATTTATGAAACAGGGTCTCTCTAAACTGCCCAGGCTGGGCTGGAATATGTGTGATCCTGCTGCCTTAGCCTCCTGGAGTGCTCAGATTACAGGCATGTACCACTGTGCCCAGCTTGCTTTGAACCTTTGCCTTACTCTGAGCCCACAGTCTTTTCCCATTCATACATCTCCTGCACCACCACTATACGCCCTGCCCCACCAGCACCAGGACTGGAATTAGAAATGCCTGTGCTTCCAGAATCCCCCAGCCATCCAGAGCTCCTAAACTGTGTCCTCAGTCAGCTGGAAGGTGTAACTTTGTTGCCAGTGTTCACTTCCTTGCGAAGGACTGCTCTTGTCAGCAGTGACAGGTTCTCTTTTCATTCTTTTTTTTTTTTT